CAATATCATACATATCTATTACAAATCCCCCGACTCCACGCCCCATGACCATGCACATATACATATATATATTCAATCATAGTTGACATACAATACTACACAACATCAGCCTCAGGTGCACAGCGCAGCGAAAAACTACTTTTTTTTTAAAGATAAAAAGCTCATGTAGAATATATAAAGGGCTGCTAATAACAGCAGCAGCTGATTTACTGAACATTTACTATGTGAAAAAACCCGGAGCTAAGAGCTTTACCAGCGTTATCACTTTTAATACACTTAACAGCCCTAAGAGGCAGATACCGTTATTTCCATTTACAGAATATGAAACTGAAGTCCAAGGAAGTTATTACCCAGTATTATTACACGTTCATATAACTTGTAGAAGCCAGAGCTGGGATTCAAACCCAAGACATCCAACTCCAGAGCCTGCGTGATTAAGACATGGACCAAAATCTGATGACAGGTCATGAGCGAATTTTTTAAAATCTTTTTTTCCCTTTAAAAAAACAGATACAGAAAATTACCTTTTCGCTTTGGCTGGAAGGGCATCAAGTCGAGGGAAGGAAGTGGCCGGTAATTGCCCTGTATCATAGGTAATGGGAGGTCTGGCAGCACTGGCAACGCATCAGCGAAGACCTGCAGGGTTGGAACCAGTGACTGGAGAGCCCTTTTCTACAAGCACAGCCTCCCTTCCTCCAGTCCGTTCCCAGCAGTGTTGACTAGACTAGGCAGGTAGCATCACAGGCAAATCCAGGCTGGAGGAGGGGTGGCAGCCATGTCTGACACAACTAACCTACAACCCAAGTCAGGAAATACGGATAGATTGACCCAGCACAATGGGACACCTCAGCAAATACTTTTCTTGGGTACTCCCGGCCCTGGATGCTAGAGGAGCCCAGAGGAAATTACTTCAAACTGAAATTCAACAGGCCACATAAAAGCCAGCCAAGCAACACAGCAGCAGGGCGGGTGCTGGGAGCTCCGCAGGGCCCGATGCGCTCAAGGCGAGGGCCTCCGAGGGGCTGAAGGGGTTACCTTTCTCGGCCTGACTGAATCGGCTCCGGCCGGCTGAAGCTTCTCTGACTTGTTTTCGTTCACCTTAGGTGATTTCTGAACCGAGTCCAAGTTTTTATTAGTGCCTTTCGAATCGTTTTTTTTAAGTCCTTTTACGCCAGTGGTGGCGGCTGAGGTTTTCACAATCTTTTTCTTTTTCTTGCGGGGCTGGTCATAGCTGAGGTATGACTCAAAAGACATGGTGGGCTGCTCGAATTCATCGTCCATGTCAGCCTCCTCGACTTTGGGGAAGGAGCCCACTGACTTCCTATCTGAATGGGGAGTTTTTCCTTTCCCTTCTTGAGTCTTTAGGTTGTTGGAAACCTTCTCTTTCGCCTTGGACAGCAGGTCTCCTGCTCCCTTTCCTATGTCTAAGCTGTCTAGACTTTGCTTGTTTTTGTCTGATTTGGTTTTCTCTGAGTCTTTGTGCTTTTGCTTTTTAAGGTGGTTGTCCGGAGCCGTTTCCAAGGGGGATGAAAACTTCTTAGCGCTGCCCTCTCTTTCCTTCTCTTTCTTGACACCACTAGAGGGTGGTTTCTCCTTTGTGCCATCCCCTGAGAGGGGCCTCCGGTTTTCCTCTTTGGAGATGGCCTTGTGGGATTTCTCTCTGCTTAAAGACAACTTCTCATCTCCCCTGGCGTCCACTGGACGTTTTTCTTTATGGGAAGATCTGTGCTCCTTGTTCTGACTCCCAGCCCCTTTCCCCTGGGGCTCGCTGGAGTGTCGTTCCTGACCGACCCCCAGTCTGTCCTGAAAGGCATTACTGTGGCCTTTTCCAGGCTTCTGGTGTGGGACAAAGGGCTCGTGGTCCTCCTCCGGGGATCTGCAGTGGCCCACGGACATCTGATGAGGACTGGCACACGATGGAGGGGACTGAACATGGCCGTAATCAGAAGACTCGTGGTCTGAAGAGTAGATTGGTGAAACCCTGTGGCCCCTCTTTCTCTCGTCTCTCCTCTCCTGACTGTGAGACACTTTGTGAGGTCGCTCAAGCTCTGCGAGTTTTCTGTGTTTCTTCTGTCTGTGGTCAGGGCTGTACGGCTGGCTGCCGGAAGCTTTCCAGTTTTCTTGGCAGTCCATATCCTCCTCCTTCTGAGTAGCATCCCTGGGGCGCTTTCGGGAATTGCTCTTCTCAAAGTCCTGTTCATCAGGCTCAGTGTTTCTAAATAAAAGAAAAAGCAGATAAAGCAGTCATAAATCTCAGTGTGATCCTTGATCAGAGGACAAAGTCACAGAGCCTGAGCTCACAAAAGGGCTGGAGAGACTCGAGAGTCAGAAAGAAGGTCTTAGGAAAAAGGTAAACGTGTCCTGCTCAGACACTCAATGAAGTTCTAAAACTGGGAAAACTCAAATAGTCAATAAATGGAAAATGACGAGTTTTACTACAGGATACAAAGATGATCAAATTATCTTGTGGATATGAAAATGCTTAAAAATTCTCTCAACATGGGGAGATATTTAAGTTAATAAAAAAGGGGCTGTTATGTGTAGTTTGTTCACAATGATATAAAAAGCCTTTTAAGAAAACGTTAGCAAGGGCTGGCTGAGTGGCACGTTGGTTAAGAGTTGGCTTGGGACTCCCGCTCTGAGCATCAGGGCCCCGGTTCAGATTCACATGAAGGGCCAGTGACGCTGCGCCCTCTACAGCTAAGATGGTGAACAACAGCTCAACCTGGAGCTGGGCTGCCGTGAGTTGCCAGCGACGGCGTAGGCTGCAGTGGGGCTGACCGGCAGCTGGCGTGAGCTGCCGTGCGCCACCGTGAGCGGCTGTCCAATGGCAGGAGAGCGACTGCCTCACCCGGGAAGAGCACAATGATAATACCAACATGGACCAGTGAAGTGACGTCCTCCACAACTAGACTGAAGAACAAAAGGATAGCAACTTGTCTGTTCCCCTTTCCCGAGTCCCCAACGCTGTTCCCCTCCCCCAATTCCCCAATAAAATGTTAAAAAAAAAAAAAGAAATTAAAGGTTAGCAAGAAATGCACCAAAATGTTAATATTCTATAATGATCATGGATTGTTTTTATAATCAGACAACATAAATATTTCCAACAAGAAGGCAGAGAAGGGATAATAAAGAAAAACTTTTCTGTCTGAAATACTCCAAATGCCAGATTTAACCATGAAATTGAACTAAACCTACAGAGTATTGTTCTTACCGTTCCACAGGAACCAACTTCTTCCACTGGGCCACGAGGTCCCTGGCAAAGCTTCCAACATGCTCGTGTTTTCGTAAGCTATTTACTGTTTTGCCAACCCCAGTCTCCTATAAATTTGACAAAGGAATTGTTTGAGTGTTGTGGAAACAGGCTCACAATTTTCAAAGAAATCAGGTCTGCTTTCCAACCAACAAACCAATACTACTGCCTTCCTAAAATATACCCTAAAGTCTCAGTACAAAATTACTTTGTTTCTATGCCCTAAATCTCTAATGACACACAGTAGCAAAGCATACCAGATTCAGAAGATGAAAAAGAATTAAAACACTTCTAGAGCTTTAACAATAACCAGAGTGATGATGGCAGGTATCAGCCACTGAGCTAAGTAAGAGCTTTGCACACAGCATCGAAATCAATCTTTACAACACTGTGAGGCAGGAATCTGCCCTGTTTGACAAAGAAGGAACAGCCTAAGGTCACCAGAACTTGGATTTGAACCCAGGACTAGTTGATGCCAAAGCCAATGTTCTTTTAATTTCTAGAAAAAAATTCCAGGGCCGACCAAGTGGCGCATTAAGAGCTGGCTTGGGACGTTAGCTCTGAGCAGCAGAGCCCCGGTTTGGATCCCACATGAGGGCTAGTGATGCTGCGCCCTCTACAGCTAAGATAGTGAACAACAGCTCGATCTAGAGCTGGGCTGCCGTGAGGCGACGGTGTAGGCTACAGTGGGTTGCTGTAAAGCTACCGTGAGTGGCCAGCAGCCAGCATGAGCTGCCAAGAGCTGCTGTGAGCGGCCATCCAGTGGCCAGCGACGGATCTGCCTCACCCGGGAAGAGCGCAATGATAATACCAACATGGGCCAGTGAAGTGACATCCTCCACAACTAGACTGAAGAACAAAAGGACAGCAACTTGTCTGTTCCCCTTCCTCGATTCCCCAATGCTGTTCCCCTCCCCCAATTCCCCAAAATCTCTAAAAAAAAATAATAAATTCTGAGATATAATTCATGTAACATAAGATTCACCATTTTAACCATTTAAAAGTTCCGTGGTTTCCAGAACACTCACAGTACTGTGCAACCATCACCACTATCTGATTCCAGAACATTTCCATTACCCTAGGAAAAAACCTGTTTCTCCCAACTGTCCCCAACCTGTACCCATATCCGAACCCCCGACAACCACTAATCTACTCTATATCTGGGGATCTGCCTATTCTGGACATTTTATATAAATGGAATCATTCAATATATGGTCTTGTGTCTGGTTTCTTTCACATCCAAAGCCCATGCTCTTTATCTTACTGTACCATCTCTCCCAGTAGGAAGGGGAAGGGATATAGTTTTATATAATACCTAAAGTTACACAGTTCTTACCGCAAGAATTTCTACTGTAATAGGCAAGGTGGAGAGTTTCTTCAAATATTTCAATAGCTGCAGAGAGAATAAAATAAACATTAATTCCTATAAATCATAATAATTCACTGGAACAAATGAGAATAATATCTGGTGGTTAAATACTCAAAGCTAGGTGTTATACAGTAATAAGTACAGTTATTCCTATTTTACAAGTATGAAAACAGGCTCAGAAAAGGTAAGTTACTTTCCGCAGGATGCACGTAGGGCAGGATTTACTCAAGTCTGTGGCTTAGGTTCCCTGTTTCACCTGCTGTGCTACACCACAGGGAAATGAGATTCAGAGAAGAGAATCAAACCTACCAACGCTTAAGAAAAGTCATCAACTATCATTTTGAGAGAGAATTTCTGAGAAAGATACCTATTTTAGGAAAGTTAATCATGGATCTGGCACAGAGGAAAGTAAAAAGGAAAGGAGGTCTCAACAGGAAAAGGGCATCACGTTTCCAGGAAGACATCACAGTTTAACAGAATTTTTTTTGGATACAATGGGAAGCCAAGGCCAATTTCAAGTTGCCAGAGTCAGAGCTTTGCCGTTAATGGTGAACACAAAATGTCTGGGTAGATTAGAAAAGCAATCTGGGTTTGGCCACATTTCCTTTCTGTAGTCCCTAAAACTGGGTCAAAATCAAGAGAGCGCTGCTGTTAAGCCAGTTCCGGAGTCAGAGTCTTCAGTTTGGCTCTGTCACCTCCTTGCCAGGTGATCTTGGGCAAGTCAGTAACCTCTCTGAACCGCATTTACTTCATCTGCAAACAGGATTGGATCCTGTTTCTACTTCACAAGCTATGACGATTAGCTGAGACAGACCATGTGCAGTGGTCTGAAATGCTATAAAAGTTCAATAAATGTGTAGCGTTCCACATTTCATTCATCGATGGACAGATCTTTAAATGACCACTCCTGACTCTCAACCAGATCACCCCTCACCAATTCCTGCTTGCCCCATTTCTACCCAAAGTCACGACTGGCCATGCCTTTCCCTAGGAAATGTTTTCGTGCATGCAAACATACTACCATGTAAGGGGTGCTGCAAAGTAGTTCAAAACAGACAACCATGACTCCCTTTACATTAAAATGTTAGATAACAAGGTCTGTTCTTTTTCCAAGTGTGGCCCAGGGTATAATTAGTGTGTCACACTGCTATTAGGTGGAGTAGTAAGTATGTTTTTCTGGTCATTCTACTTCAATATTTACTGAGTATGGTCACTAGGCAGAGCAGCTGGACCACAAGTGATACGACTGCCTGACTAGGAACACACGCGAAGCCAAGTGGTATATCCAGGGACTTTTGCCTTCATAGCTGAGTGAAAATTATCCTCCGCTTCACATTTGATCACTACCATCGTCCAACGCAGGAGAAAGTTGATGTGTATTTCTTGTCACCCAGGCTATGGGTGCAAAGATAATGCCAATTCCTTTTCCTAAAGGAAAATTCAGAAGCATTGAAAGGCTAAAAACAGGTTGTCACCCCTACTTGCCATTCCCTGGAAGGCATTTATATACCATCTACTATGTCGGCTCCTCTGCTAAGTTCTCCCATGTTACCTCATTTCATCCTCACTGACCACCTCTATATACTGGGTGTTATGCTCCCCAGTTTACAGTTATTGAGGTCAGTGAGGTGAGGTAACTTTCCTAATGAGCTAGTACATCAATTGTGACTGCTACAGCATATACTAACTACAAGGCCAGGAGAAACAGCCAACATAACACTGTCCTTAGAAATTAGGAAGAGAAGGGCCGGCCGAGTGGCACGATGGTTAAGAGATGGTTTGGNTGATTGTATTCCTCTATACGATACAGCTGATCAGGCGTACACCTCTCTAAGACAGGTTCAAGAACGGAATATGGAACGCCTCCCACTTCAAAGATTGCTGCAGAGAATCAAAGGTGAAAGCGCTGAGTAGCAGCCAAGTCACCCTGGGATAAGGTCCCAGAGCCGCAACATGCTTGAGAGCAAGGGAAGGGCATGGGACTTACAGTCGATGTTGTTTTTAAGTACCCGGATGCACTGCTGATGCAAGGTCATCATTTTGGGGAGATAGGCACACTTGGAACCAGAATACACCTGCATCTTAGAATTCATTCTCCGTCCAGTGAATCCAGCTTCCTCTTCTTCCTGGGGTGAAGAGTGTGCTAGAACACAAGAAAAACAAGAATGGAAGTTACAAAAGGCACTATATACCATGTTTCCCCCAAAATAAGATCTAACTGGAAAATAAGCCCTAGCATGATTTTTCAAGATGCTCGTAATATAAGCTCTACCCCAAACATAAGCTCCAGTTAAGATCGTCAGCCAGACATGATTGTTTGAATAAATGCAGATTTTTGTACATGAATAAATGTAGATTGTTGAAGCAAAAATGAATATAAGATCTGGTCTTATTTTCAGGGAAACACGGTACTGAAAACTCTCTTTCCACCCCATTCCTCAGCCTCCCAGTTCTCTTTCTCAAAGGCAACCAACGTGATCAATTGCTTGTGCGTCCTTCCAGAGAATCTTTGCAAAAATAAGCAAATATGTATCTTATTTCCTTTCAACCAATTAATCATGTACTCACTACTATCATTGTTTTTTTCATTCCCCACGTTTTAGAAATCGTTCCATGTCAGTATATACTTTCCACACTTTTTACAGTTGTGTAGGATGCCACTGTGTGGATGGACCACGACTTCTCCGTTAGTCTCTTGCTGAGAAGCACTTATGTGGCTTCTACTTCTTTTGCTATTAAAACTACGTTTTTTTTTATTAAATTATTTTTTATTATGAAATACATTTTTTAGAATTAGTTTCAGCTGTACAACACAGTGCAATAGTTATACTTTTTACCCCTCG